TTATTTTTCAAAATTATCCTTTGTTCTTCAAATAATCCGAGAATATATAATCATCCAATTTTTGCGTAAACGACTGGGAGTAGTTTGTACATCCCAATTAAAAGTCATTAACTATGTATTGTGTATTATTAAATGTTCTTATACAATTTATTAATATTTAATATCACATTACGTGAATTTACTGAATATTAAAAAAAAAAAATAAAGAAAAATAACAGATACAGGTTCTCTCGATCAGTAAACAGAATTATTGTAAACCTAATTGGAAATTTTATTTTTTCGCTAACACGAGATATAATAATTCAGCTAATTATTCCCAGATTAAAGACAGATGATGAGCCAACCTCTTGTTAATAAAAAAAATATTTCTCAGATGTTCACGTTATTATTTTGTCTACATCCTATTATACGCCACGCTGAAATAAAACGTGAACGTATTAAGACGCATTTATGACTAAAATCGAGCCGAATACGCGATCTGTAATTAAATTTCATCTCGAAGTACCAGTTTCCTTAAAACAGGAGAATTTTAACAGAGAGGGCTGCTTAATTGTCGGACCTTCGCAGCTAGTCGCAGTTCCCTCCTGGCAGCTTTCGGCAAATGTGCGCGCAGTTCTCGCTCCAGCAGCATAACCCGTAGATTTTTGTCACGCGTCCGCTGTATCTGTCGCACGAAAATCGAGGGATGATGCTGACGCTTCTCGCGCGACTTATTTTCCGTCACGGCGTCCTCGTACCGGCTCGTCTCGTCCCTGTGGAGGAAGCGCGAGTACGAGACATGGCGCATGAATATCAATTCGACCGGAACGTATGCACGTATTTCGTAAAAAGGACGAGCTATTTTCGCGTCACGGCTGCATTCAATTTTAGGTGCTAGCACATTTTTATACCGATGCGCCGCGTAACGCGTTTAAAATTATTTGTAAACGTGCGTGTCACGTAGCGCCGGACAAACTGCGTTCGTAAAATCGCGAACTCAATTTTGTGACTACTCGGCCGGAATTCTACGAAACTCACGCGTATAAATCAGTCGTAAAATTCATAACTCTCGCATTTTTATAATCAATTCTAACGCTTGCAAATTGGACGGAAATCTCGAATGCGTATCACCTCATTTTTGCATTAATTTCCAATAATGGATCCTGTGCAACGTTAAGTGTTTCAAATTATTAATTTCCTTTGATCCCTTTCCTTCCATTTTTCTCCACCATCAATCTCTCTTCCTCAATCATTAATTAATTTTATTTCAATTAATCAATCATTTTCAATGCTATTAACTTGAGCTTTAGAACCGTATTTTAAAAATGGCAAAATTTAACTTTCGCTAGATGCTCATTTCAAATTCTGAAGTTTTCGAATCTTTAAACAATATATTCAAAGAAGTTTCAAATTTTTGTGTGTTTTAGGATTTTTAAACAATAAGTATACCCGCAAACTATATTATATACCTATATACGTGATTTGCAATGTAGCCAATGTAGCCGTTGTTGACTCGCTTCAAGCGTATACCATCGACGTCTCTTCCGCATCCGTTATGGCCTTTGCCATCCCTTGAGACGCGCTTGACACGCTTGCGAGGCTGCTTGCCGGTAGGCAAGACGTAACCCGTTGCTCCCTTGGCGGCTATTCCGCCGCGTTTTCCCAGTATCTTGGCGAAAAACTGCAGAATTGTTTGGCCGCTATCCTTCCACCAGCTATTGCACTTCTCCTCCTCCTCCATGAGCTCGACAACGCGATCGCCGCAATTCTGTTTCCGGTCGACGCTCTTACAGTTGCGCTCCACATGGCTTTGAAATTCTTCCGAATTCCATATGGTTTCCCGACGATCATCTTCGACTTGCGGAAAATCTGCGAACGATTTCTTCGAATCGTTCGGAACCATCAATAGACTATCTTCTTGCCACGTTAAGAACGATGGATTGTTGGAAATCTTGATAGCTTCGGTCTCTATACAAATGTCCTGACGTCCTTCCTTAACTTCGAATATGGACATTTTAAACATTTTATTATAATCATGCCCATGTCAATTAACATTAATTGATTTCGTACAACAATTAATTTATCGAATGTATCATATATCAATTTATTAATATACGCAATTTATGAATTTAGTTCTTACTTTGATTAATGCTTTCGAAGCCGTTGCATGTCACGAGCGCTATTTCGACAGAACTCTGTTTCGATTCTAAAGTCTTGCCGCGACATCGAGACGTTGTTTCAAGTCCGGCATTCGGACTCGTGATCGAATCCTGAACTACATAAGAGTAACTCGCGTCTACGATGTGCGGTATTACACGTATTATCGTCATCTTCTTACGCGTGTGCGGCAAAGGCAATCGAAAATACTGCGCATCGTTCAGTCGCATTCCTTGCAACATGTGTAAAAATTATTTTTTCCGGGAACTATTTTATGACTATTTTATTATATATATATATAT